CTTTAACTGGTTAACTGCACTTATAAATACTATTTTGATCTGAAAATTTTAGTCGCTAATCCCTTACGTTTTAAAGAAACTTTATCAAGTGGTAACCCCTTGCCTTTTAGTTTCTGTATCTTAAAGGATTCCCTTATAGCATTGGCCTCTTTTATTCTAATGGTTCTAGTTTGTGTCATGCTCTTTGTTGACATTATCTCCATTGGATCTTGTCATTCAAAAATTGCTATATATTAAAAAAAATGTTGCCTTTTTTTGTTTTTGACCACTGCAGATTTGCCAAGTAAGCTTTTGATATGGCTGTTGGTATCAAATTGTACAGCATTCCATATTGATGCGGAATCCTATGAATCTCCATTACAGTCATCATTAGTATTAGCAGCTAAAAGACCTTTGACAGCTCCCATTCTTGCTGGGAATGCCAATACACCACTTGTTGGAGTGAAGGAAAAATCACGATACAAGAGGCGGAATCTCGCATCAGCACCAGTTCAGGCTCCTCATGAGCCACTACAAGCAAGTAGTCATCCTCCTGCCGGAACTAGATTGCCTAATTTGGCAAAGAATAATAATGGATCAGCACCACCACAAGCTGAAGGCCTAATGCCATCTCTCGCTCCAGAAGTTTCAAGTAAGCGTACTTGTCATTAGAAGCTTATGTACACTTTTAGCATCTTGTTCTTGGAAAGGGGAAAAAGATTTCCTCTGCACCTGGCACCTATGAGGTGCATCCAATTACAAATCAAAGTGCATTGCCTTCATGAGGTGCACAAAGATATGTGGGAAGATTCCTTATTCATTTACCTTTTCTGTTCCATAGTAATGTGCATGTTTCTTGACTCATACTCTATATTGTTATCTCTTGCTCTTTCCTTTTCTCATTGCTTCTTGCCACTTCACTCAGTGCTCTATGTTTCTCATGCAATTTGCGTCCATTAAGGTTGTTCTCTTACCTATGCGCTTCACATGCTGACACAAATCTACCTTGTGCATGTTTAAGAAATAGCTTGACTAGGACTATGATGTTATATAGTTTATTTTATTATGTATATGTGCATTTAATTTAACGCATGTGCAGTCCGTGTAACTAGCAAAATAGTATAAGGTATTCAGTGCCCTCTGTTTGTTTATTAATTATTTCATCTGTTGTGACTTTGGTGTGTATTCTTACATTCCAGGCTGCTGTAAACCTGATATGGTGCAGAAACGAGAGACCTCCAGCTGCCACTGTGTTTATCCAATTAAGGTTGACCTTCTGCTTTTCAATGTGTCACAAAATCCAAATTGGAGTCTTTTCCTAGATGGATTCTCTTCTGCACTTGGCCTCCGTGCTCCTCAGATGCAAATGAATAATTTTTATTGGGTTACCCTGACAAGCTTGAATATTTCACTGGACATAACTCCACATACTGGGGTCAGTTTCTCAGCTGGTGCCGCATCTGCTATAAACTCCTCACTTGTGTTGCACAAGGTGTCCATACCTGAAATAGTAGGTGTGGGTGATTACAAACTTCTAAATGTGACCTGGTATCAGCCTCCTGCTCCATCACCAGGTAATTATACAGCGAATACTTCTTTTTTTAGGCTCTGTATATGTTGAGGTGGATATTGCCGCTGGTGCATACATTTAGTTGTTTCTTATTGTTTATTTGTTATTCTGCACTTTATTCTGGAAAATCTAGATGATTGCTTGTATTTTGGAAACTATTTGAGCAGCAGTCTATTTCTTTTCTTGCCTGACTTAGCATATAGGATTTCCTTGTTCTGCATATGTAACTTCTGGAGTATATTACCAGTTATAACACTAGTCTTTCTCTTAATTACAGCCCCATTATCTGCTGCATCACCTATGAAAACACCAGATCATCAGGCTTCAGCTTCTACAACATCAGAAACTTCTAATAACAAGAACTCAAGCTTGGTTCTTGTTCTTAGTATTGGGGCTGGAATTTTGATCATTGTCGTCATATTTGTGCTAGTTATGTGCTCTTGTTCATCCCGTAAGAAGCCAAAACCATTAATGAAAGATCCAGGTACGAGTATCAAGCTCAACACTAGCTCTATGCCTTTTTCTACATTAGCAGCAATTCCTTTTGTAATATCTTTTCAATTCATAGTACTTTGATATGCTATTTTAAAGATTTAAAGCAATGTTACCATGGGTTTGTTTATCTTGTCTGCTGAAGCTAACACAAATTTCCATTGCTTTTTTGTATTATATATAATTAATTAATTGCTCATAATTATATAGTTTAACGCACCTGGTACATGTAATTTTTTCAACCACCCATTATTTTCCTTTCTTATCTGTTTCAATCAGGTGTGGTATTTATTGACTTTTGATAACTTTTCAATTTTCTATAGAGAATCTTGTATCAAGGCCAAGGACTTCAGATGGAGGCACAGCAGGAGGATCTCTTGCTCACCCTAGCAGTACAAGATTTTTGACTTATGAAGAACTGAAAAAGGCAACTAACAATTTTGAAAAATCCAGCATACTTGGGGAGGGTGGGTTTGGCAAAGTTTTCAAAGGTGTTTTGAGTGATGGCACTGCTGTTGCAATCAAGAAGCTTACAAATGGTGGGCCTCAAGGCGATAAGGAGTTCCTTGTTGAGGTTGATATGCTTAGCAGGTTGCATCATCGTAATCTTGTGAAACTTGTGGGCTACTATAGCAGCCGTGAAGCCTCTCAAAATCTGCTTTGTTATGAGCTTGTTCCTAATGGAAGTCTGGAGGCATGGCTTCATGGTTGGTTTGATGATACTCTTTGATAGCTTTAATTTCTAGTCAATTGTAGAACTTTCTGTCTATATTATGTGTGTGTACTTTTAGATCGTATAATATAATCGTTAAATTAAAAAACGCTGCCCTCTATTACAGGTCCTTTGGGGGTAAATTGTCCATTAGATTGGGACGCGAGAATGAAGATTGCACTTGATGCTGCTAGAGGACTTGCATACTTGCATGAAGACTCACAGCCATGTGTCATCCACAGAGACTTCAAGGCATCAAATATACTACTTGAAAACAACTTCAATGCTAAGGTTGCCGATTTTGGCTTGGCCAAACAGGCGCCTGAAGGCAGGCAGACTTATTTGTCTACTCGAGTCATGGGAACATTTGGGTCAGCCCCCATCTTTTTTCTAGCATTTACCATATTAATTCCTCTATGTAAGATTGTAGTTTCTGAAATTCATTTGATTGATGCCAACAGGTATGTAGCCCCTGAATATGCCATGACTGGTCATTTACTTGTTAAAAGTGATGTCTATAGCTATGGGGTGGTCCTGCTTGAGTTGCTGACTGGTAGAAAACCTGTAGATATGTCACAGCCAGCTGGCCAGGAGAACCTTGTTACCTGGGTTAGTTTTATTTTTCATGTAGTTCTGCCTCTCTCTCTTGGGTGAGGGTGCTCCGAATAAATTCGTGACTGTTGGTATTTACAAAATTTTTACTGTTCTGCACTTATACAGGCAAGGCCAATTTTGAGAGATAAGGATCGTCTAGAGGAGCTTGTGGATCCGAAGCTTCAGGGGAATTACCCTAAGGAAGATTTTTTACGGGTTTGCACAATTGCAGCCGCTTGTGTTGCTCCTGAAGCAAATCAACGGCCCACGATGGGCGAGGTGGTGCAATCTCTTAAAATGGTACAACGGGTTACTGAGTATCAAGACGCTGCCACGGGATCTGCTAACATGCGACCAAACCTTAGACAGTCTTCTACTACCTTTGAATCCGATGGGACTTCCTCAATCTTCTCATCAGGTCCTTACTCTGGTTTGAGTACCTTTGATGAAAACATATCTCGAACTGCTGTTTTCTCTGAGGATCTTCATGAAGGCAGATGAAAAAGATGGTGGGAGTTGAACTTTACAGTCCATCCACTTGCGTACTCAGGGAGAAAGCAAAGAATTGGCTCATGTTAGTCAGCTTTGCAGGGTTCTATGCATTTCAAGGCTGAAGTGGGTATTCAGTGAGGTTTAGTTAGCAGAAAATGAAAATCCTCATCTTCTATGGACAATTATTGTGATATTCCCGATTGAGGTGGTGAGGCTGTGGTGTTGCTGGCCTGCCGCATAACTGTGATAAAATGTATATATTGCTTATGGTTCGATCGGGTTCTTTCATTATCTTACAAGGGCCTACAAGATTTATGAGTTAAGGTCACTCCTTACTTTTTTTACTCACCTGATTCATCCTCTTCTCTTTTATGGGATTACCTTTTTTTCCCTGTTTGTTAAAGTACAAAATCCGTGTACATTCAACTTCAATTGTCAGAGTTCATTAATTAAAGTCAAATGTGCAGCCTGCTGTTTTCTATTTGGGTTACTAGAAAGTTCATAGTAGAATTTCTTTGTGCCTATTCCACTCGATTATTTTAGCCGTATATCTATATTGAGTTATTGATATTATCCTAACAATCAATAAAACTTGCCTCATGCATACTCATCGTTTGTGAACCACATAAAACTTGTGTTCTTGGTTTTTGATTTCATTAATCTTTCTGTATCTATATAATTTTTCTACAAATTTAACTTATAATTAAGAGACGGTGGAAATAAAATAAATTATGTTTGTATATGTATGATTAATCTTTAAAATTGATGGCTTTTCTAGATGTATGATTAATGCTTGATGGTGTGCCATTTAACCCTTAACTTTCCCAACTCATGATAAACCAGGGAGCAAAATATGTATACTCTTGTCCATATACAGTACATATTATTTGCTCAAAAATTAAGGAGGGGAAGCGAAAAATATCAAATGAGCATTTCAAATTGCACTTACTTCTATGTGCATTCGGGTATATGTGTAAGAAGCTCTCGGGAAAAGCTTTGCCTTTAGATAAGGAAAAGCTAAAAACCAAGAGGTTGGACCTCTAAGAACCTTTTCTTCAACCTAAAGAAACCTTCACCCAAAAATGTAAATATATTTATCCAGGAAGTGGGGATTACAAACATTAAAAATTTCAAGCAATGAACTGTTATTCCAATCCAGCTCTTGTTTCCTTCCAATTATTCTCTTTTTCACGCCAAACAATTCAAGCAAAGAACCACTCATAATAATGCACCTATACATTTCCTTACATGTATATATACATCTTATGTATCTCCCTTAATCTTAGCTTGTAATTGTCCAGAAAAGAATAAAGAGAACTCCTCTTCCCTTCCACTCTCTAGATCATTAGGATTAATTAATTACTAATGGCTTCGGAAGGACCGCGATCAGCAGCTTTACTGCTCTTGGTTATCAATCTAGTACTCTATTTCATTATTATGCTGATTTCTTCTTGGGCTGTTAATCATGCAATTGAAAAAACCCACGAGTCAGGTAAGAAGTACTCCCTTCGTCTTTAAAAGTTCATTCTATTTTGACTTTTTTTATGAGACACCCCGTTTGGCATATTTGGTGTTTGCAGCTTCTGTACTACAAACTCCTGCAAGAATCTTCCCAATCTACTTTCCAATGGGGAACATGTCGACTGGATTCTTCATCATTTTCTCTCTTCTTATCGGTGTTATTGGCATCACAACTTCAGTTCTGGGAATGCTCAATGTAATGCAATGGACAGTTGCTAGTTTGTATGCTGCTGCTACCTCTTCTCTAGGGACATTTGCACTCACTATTCTTGCCATGGGGTATGTACAACTTTTTATATGCTTATTATGTCTAGCATTATTTTTCGTCATTGAAATGTTACTCTATCGGTCCATAAAAAACTGTTCACTTTATAAACTGTGACACGTTATACGGGTCTATTGTTACAAAGAGTGATAGAGGATAATCATTTTTGAAAGGAGGGATTATGTACATACTTTTTTCTTTTTCTTTCGCACCAAGTGTTACACGAAGATTGATTGAACTTATGAGTATTGCACCATGATTTTGTTCTTGCAGATTGGCCTGTAAGGAAATTGATATTGGATATACTGGTGCTAACTTGGTGAGTAATTTGTAATCTTTACCTTTATTTATGTTTTAGATCTTTTTGCTTTAGCATGAAATTAACCTATTTAGGGAAAATGAAGCAAAAAAAAACTAAAAAAGTTGCTTTGATTTTGGTATAAAAAACAGAGGACTTTGGAGGTAATCATGATTATTGTGAGCGGAACACAATTGCTATGTACTGGTGCAATCAATGTTGCAGCTGATAATGCTGCTGCGGCTACAAGAAGGATGCTTGGTGGAAGAGTATAAGTTGTTACAAGTTTGATCAATTGTGCTAATTTTTAAAATATTTTCCTTCCATGTAAGAGTGAATTAATTCGAAGATGGACATTGTATATGATAACAAGTGTGATCGACATTGTGTTTGATAGTTATTGTGTTTATTCTCAATTGATAAATTAGTTCCTCTCAAGTTTATATACTTGTATATCTTATATTACGATTCTACGTGTATAAAAAACAAGTGTGGAAACAAATTTTTTAATAGTAAATTGTGAATGTTAAGTAATTAAAGATGACATTGGGTTGATCCAACACGAAAAAAGCATAATAAGACACATTGAGATATACAGTAGGACAAACGACAATTGTTAGGTTGTGGGCTTAGGCACTTAGCTTATGAGCTCAGACTATGCTTGACTTTCTTTTTGAAAATTGCGACACCATACATAATACTTCATTTGTCCCTTTTTTTTTTGCCTTATGTCTTTTATTTTTTTTTCAAAGATATAATACAAGGAAGAAGGAAATTAACAATATCTTACACGAAGCTATCTTTTCTACAATAAAGGTCAAAGTTTGTGGAACTGACATTCAAAAAGCCAATCGAGCGGTTAATTTCAGACAAAGGGTGTATGATAAGCAAAGATGCATAGTTTTGTTGATCTTAGTTTTCCTAACTAAAATAAGTCTTATAACTATCTATGAGATCAAATTTCTAATGTTCTTTCGGCTTTAGAGTCACAAATGACAAATTCAAATAAAACCGGATTTAAAATTTGCACTTCTTACCAGTCACATACTTTAACAGACTAAACTAGTTCAGTTTCGTGACGATAGACTGATCCCTCTTTAAAACAAGCCATGTGTTGGTGCAAATAGTCGCAGTATCACAAGTCAGACAAATACGCAACACAATCCAGGTAGAAGCGAAGCGAAGAAAACTGTAGGAGAGAGAAAGACGAAAAAGCTTTTCTTGCCTGGTATAAGAGAGAGAGAGAGAAAGAGAAAGGGAAGAATTGTGGTCTTTGTTATTGTTGTATTTTCTTTTATTTTTCCTTTTTTTGTAAAAAACTTTATAGTATCGAAAAAATGGTGAAGATTATTATTAGACCAACTTCTTGCTCTTCTTCTTCTCCAATTACTACTATCATCTTAAATCTTCTTCTTTGCCCTAAAATAAGCTTACCCCTTTTTGTCTCTCCTTCATATTTTAGCCCTTTGCAACCCCCTTTTCTCATTTTTTCTCTCTTCTTTTTCACTAGTACCCTTTTCTCAGCTTTCTCTCTCCATTTTTCGCTTCTTTCGTGTTGTTTTCTCTCTCCAAGTTTCAATCTTTAAAGGTAATGTTTCTTGTAATTTTGTTTTTGTATTTGGGTATTTTTGTTTTAATTTATAATTTGGCATCTGGGTTTTGTTTATTGGTTTTGTATGATGGAGTAATTTTGTGGGGTTTTGAGTTTTTCATGCTGTTGTTCGAATTTTAGGTTTTTGGGTTGTGTTTGATTGTGTTGTGTGATGAATTATTTTGGGGGTTTTGGTTGGGTAATCCTGGCAATTAGGGTTTTGCTTATGTAATTGATTGAGGTTTATGTGTGATCTTTTAATGCTTGCTTGCTTTTGGGTGTTGTGTAATTGGAAATGGTTAATTTGTAATTTATACTTCGTATTTAGTTGATTGGTTTCATTGTTCCTCAAATTGAGTATATTGATGCTGTTAATGCAAATCTGCTGTTGTGTATACTGTATTTACAATTCGATTTTCGTTTTTCAGTGTACATTGTATGCTAATTTTATATGTTGTTAGATTTGTGTGTTTTATTTATGTTCGATTTCTAAGTTATTGGATTAGTTCTGATATTCTATGAAATGTTTATTTTCAATAGTATGGTTTATGCACATGCTTGATCATGAGACTTATTTGTCGAATTTGTATTGCAGTGCTGTATTGATTCTGTGGGAATCTCTACTACATGAACTAGGCATTAGTGGCTGTACTGGAAGTTTTGTTTGATTATATTGTTCCTAAATGGAAGAGAATAATTCTTCTCGGTTCGAAAGCATAGGGAACACTGTCAGAAAGAGACGGAGTCATACCTCCAGGCGACCTCGCCCTGAATCTCAACCACTTTCGGATGGACGTGATGTTTCATCCTTATCCTCAACACCTCCGTCGGATGACATAAAGGCAGGCTCCAGTGATGAGAATAGTGGTGGTGACCACAATTCGAGGAGGAACGAGCTTAGTCTTAGTCAATGTGCATCAAGATTTCCTGGGCCTAGTGGTGTGGAGGGAGAAAAATCTTCAAGAAAGAATAAGAAAGTAGATATTGGACTCAATGAATTATATGGCAATGGTGGTTCAAAAGACACTACAGAGCAGGGACGGAGTGGCTCAAATCACAAAAGAAGCAGCGAAGGAGTTCTTGCGCCCGCTAATTGGAGAAGTACAAGTAGGGAAAATGAAAGCCCGGAACCACAGACGACCATGGCATTGAATAGAAAGGCTGATGATAGTGTAGGTCCATCTCAAGATAGGCTGGGAAATGATAACAAGGTAAAAAAAGTCAAGCTCAAAGTTGGCGGTGTCACTCGTACCATTGATGCTAATTCAAAGAGTTCTCGTGCTTCAGATGCTACAAATGTGCGGCAGAAGTCAGCGCATAAGGTAGGTGATTATTGTATATTCAATTAATGTATGAACCTGTATAGCTGTTATGATGCTAGAGTTTGCCAATATATGCCACAACTTTATTTTCGATTTCCTCACTTTGTGCTTGATGATTGGTGTGTGGTGTTTTGCAATTTAGTAGAGATCTTATGTCCATTGGAGTGAATTCGTTTGGTTTTAGATTTTTTTCATGTATATGTATGAGGATCAGCACTTGTTTGAATCGCCTTTGTCTGAAATATGGCATGTTGAACTACTTCCTGTTGACGTAGAAGACTTACATGTCATTTAATTCTCGGAAGCAATCTCTTCTAATTAAGACCTTTTATTTTGTTGTAATCTCATTTTAATTTGGTTGTGAAAAGCATCTAGGGTTAATGGGAACTATAAATTCTGTTTCTTCAGGATAATTCAGAAATTGATAAGTCACCTTCTGGAGATAAAAAGGGTGGATTACAGGGAATTCCTTGGAAAGATTTCTTCAAAGTGGGGTTTACCCTTGGAAGGGAGGAATCTTCAACGAAGGGGGCTGGGAAGAATAGGTCTGTAAAGCAAGGTGACAAATCTGATTCAGCGCGAAAGAGTAGACGAGCATCGAAGAAGCGTGCACTTGATGGTTTTGATGACGAAGACGATGATGATGAGATCAGATATCTGGAAAAACTAAAAAATGCAAAGTATTTTAATGGATTTGGAGAGGATGATGAAGAATCTAGCAGAAAACACAGAAGATTGTCTAAGTTTTCAGGAAATGTTTCTCAAAATTCAGAAGTTGGTGCTTCTTCACGGCCGGGGAAAGATGGAAAGAAGAGATCACCTTCTGAGGATACCGACTATGAGGGAGAGGAGGAACTTGTATCTGATGGTGAAGCTGAGGGAAAGAAAAAGAAGAAAGCAAAGAAGGAACCTGTTGACGCAATTGTTGAGCCTAAGCGGGAATTGACTCTTACAACTCGTCAACGGGCACTTCAGTCAGGGAGAGATTGCTCCGCGCCAGGTGGAACTGCAGTTGAATTTCCAAATGGGTTACCTCCAGCACCATCTAGAAGTAAGATTTTTTAATCTGTTCTGCTTATCATCATCTCATATCTTTTCAGATCCAGTTATTAATTATTGTTAATGTAAATTGGTTAACAGAGCAAAAGGAGAAGCTTTCAGAAGTGGATCAACAATTGAAGAAAGTTGAGGCTGCCCAGAGACGTAAAATGCAAAATGAAAAGGCAGCTAAGGAGTCAGAGGTATTTTTTTAACTACTTCCTTTGCTATTTCTATTGTGTGGACATTTCTTGTAAGTAAGCTGAGTAAGGAAGCTTTGTTTTACAGGCTGAGGCAATTAGAAGAATACTCGGTCAGGACTCCAATAGGAAAAAGAGGGAAGACAAAAAGAAGAAGCGTGTAAAAGAGCTTGCCCAGGTACTGGATAGTCTATGGGTTATTTACTTCTATTTTTTAAGAGTAGTATAACATGGAAGAGATTATTGATAATGTCTTTTGATGCAGGAGAGGGCTGCTGATGAACTTATGCGTGCGTCAAATAGTATCAGAATGGTCTTGGGACCTAGTGGGACAACTGTTACCTTTCCAAAGGAAATGTTGCCTAGCTTTTTTGACCCAAAACCTTGCAGGTATCTCATGTTATACTCTCTTTTCTTGTGTAGTGGCTGTATATTTGTTTTTTTTTGGTGGTTGTGTGTTGTGCAAGTGCCAGTTTGTTGCTAAATTATTTTTTTTTTAATTTTTTTTTGATGTTAATTTCACTGCCTTAGTCTCAAAGTCATATGTGAATCTTTAATGTCAAAGTTGGACACTGGCTGTGAGGATAGATTATAGTGATCATAATATGTGTTAGTTGTGAGGAGTGGATCTTATCTAATATGAATATGAAGCAATGTTCACTAGGTTTGTGGTTGAGGTTATTTCCAGCCACGTGTTTGTAAGAGCACTTGTCTAGAAGAAATTATTTTCTTCAGTGCCAAAAACCTGGGAGGTTGTATACCTTCCCAGGAGAAGTGAGACTGGGTTATGAAGAACCAGAGTAAGCCATTGATGCAGATTTAGGCCCTGTTCAGTTCACCTAATTTCACGTATTTCAAGACTAATTATTTCAGATAAATTTAGATAAGAGTTATTAAGGGTTATCTAAGTGCAACTTACAACTAAAATAAGTTCTAACAAGTCCTAATAAATTCAATACCTTTAGTGTTGGGAGTATTTTGCTATTTTATCCACTTTTCTGGTTCAACAGATATATTGATTTTGTAGTCTTTGTTGGTCTTTCTTATAAACTCTTGACATTCTTTGTAAATGCCCCTCCTAATCTCATTTTTTTTAAAAAAAAAAAAAAACACACACACACACACTAGTTTTCCCTAATCTCACTAAAAAGTACTCCCTCCGTCCCATAATATAGTTCCTATTTTCCTATTTTGGAGATCCAAAATGTTGTTCCTGTTTCTATTTTTGGATAGTATGTAAAGACCATTATACCCTCACTTTTTTAGCTTTATTCATTGTACTTTTTAAATTACCCTTGAATTTTACACATGCCTTGTACTTTTTTCCACTTTCTCTCTCTAACTTTTGTCTATAATTGTACTTTTCACTTTTATTAATGTATTTCATCCACTTTTTCCTCCTATTTTTTAAATACCGTGAAAAAACACAAACAAGAACTATATTATGGGACGGAGGGAGTAGTATATTCGCTAGGGTGGATTGTTTTTTCCTTGTAGAAGAACTCAAGAAAGGAATGGCACAATATTTTGCCCATACCTCTTTTCTTCTCCTCTATTTCCTTCCTTTCCTTCCTACGAAGTAATTTTTTGTATCAAGGAACCAAACATAGGAAAACTAATGAAGTTTATAAACTGATTTTCACAGAACATTCTTTATTGGATAAAAACGAATTCCAAGCCCTACATCTCTTAAAAGCTTAAGTTTAGCACCATTGGTTGCATCAATTAGTACTATGTTATTAGTTTTCCTGATTAAGGTTTACTGTGTGTTGAATGTTGATTTATTGAGAATGCCTTTGAGATGTCCTGCTGTAGTTCAGAGGCATTTAGCTTTTGTGTTAATGTTCTTCAGAACTTTAACTTGACTTGTAGAATGCTACATTACTAGCTCTTTTCTGTATTGTATAGCCTGGCTTTTATATTTAATCTGCCTCTCAAATTCCTTGTCGTAAATACCTTAAACTGATGTAAATAGTTTGGTGTGTTCCTTGAATGATAATTTAAATACAAAAGATAAGCTTTTGCATAACTTGTGATCCCATCTCGTATATTTCTTGTGAGTTTGATACTAGTAAAGTGTTTGAGTGAGATAATTTGCTATTTTCATGTTTGAGTTCCAAATAAATATCATTATAACTATTTCCCTGTTTATTTTCTTGGTTGTTCGGATGAATTTTCAGTTATCCTCCACCTCGTGAAAGATGTGCTGGCCCATCTTGTACGAATCCATACAAGTACAGAGATTCAAAGACGAAGCTGCCACTTTGCAGCCTACAGTGTTACAAGGCAGTTCAGGGCAATATGCCAAGCCAAGCTGCTACCTGCTGATATATACAAATACATACTTTTATCCTTTGCCTCAGGTGTTGGTCCTGCAGGATGTACAGCAGCTGCTCATATCTAGCAGGGTTCTCACCTTCAAAGGCCCTCATTCACCGAGAAAATATAAGTCGTAATATGTGATATGATCTATTACGAGTGAATAATTTGGTAGTATTGTATGATTCATAATTCTATGGAATTAATTAGGTATAATCATGCCAAATTATGTAAATTTTTACAGCATATGAAAGAATAGTACTGTGTAGATTAGAACTCTAGCAGCTCGTATTTGGTTTGATTCTCTCCTCTGCCCCGTAAGCTTTAAGTTGAGGGAAGAATCACAGGGAAGCTGTCGTTTAATTTCTATTAATAGTAGCTTATCTCTCTATATCTCTGTATTACAGTTTACATTTCGATAATCTACACCCCTTTATTTTGTCTGATATTCATATACTCTAATTAGGATTCACCGTGATTTTACTAAATATTCCTGGTAAAGGACGTCTAGTTTTCCTTTTTACCACCGATTAAGGCAGAGTTCATACTTTCATAGCAAAATTGAGCATAAAGCAGTTGCATACTTGCATTTTACGAGATGTCACGGCCTGTATTGGACATCTAAAAATAATATACGCGACTATTGATTATAGATGAATAGAATATTAATCATCCCCTATAAAATACTTGTCGAGTTAACAAACAATATGGGTTAATTGTATTTAACCCAAAGTTCTTATTAAGTGCCAAATTAATTTACAGTATTACTTATCAATTGATCACAAACATTTGGGCCCACATATCATTATCAAATTAAGCGAGTGTCGTAACACAAAATATTCTTCAACTAGTGTCTCTGTTTCTCTAGGGAATAACCATGTCCCCTCTACTAACGATGTGCATCACCTCATCATAAACAAAGATAGCATGTTATACTATATACTATTGTAATGCCTCGTTCAAAAATAAAATCCTTGTGAACACCAACAATAACAATATTTTATCAATAAACAAAGATAGCATGTTATACTATATACTATTGTAATGCCTCGTTCAAAAATAAAATCCTTGTGAACACCAACAATAACAATATTTTATCAATAAACAAAGATAGCATGTTATACTATATACTATTGTAATGCCTCGTTCAAAAATAAAATCCTTGTGAACACCAACAATAACAATATTTTATCAATAAACAAAGATAGCATGTTATACTTTATACTATTGTAATGCCTCGTTCAAAAATAAAATCCTTGTGAACACCAACAATAACAATATTTTATCAATACTATATGAATCACGACCATTACCATTTTAGAAACTGTGATTATATTTTTCGAATATTCTAATATAATATACGTGACTATTATGTCAATATGAAGAGGTATTTTCTAGGAAAACACGATAAATTCTTTATATTGGATGCAAGGCAGAGTATCATGCATATCTAACATGTGTTATTAATTAATTTACAATACATTTCCTCAAAGTAATATGAGCAAATACAAAAGCAAAAAAAATAAGTAGAAAAATCGAGGGTTGGCACCTCTTTCTGGCTCATTTCACCTTAATTTAACTAATGCCTATCCATCTCTTCGACTTTCACTTGAACCACCTGAACTAAACCGATACCTACCTAAAAAAAAAGAAGAGAATTTATTGTTCATCAAAGAAGTCAAAGCTTTCTTGTGTTATTTTTGATGTAATATTTTTGAGAAGGGGAAGAGTGGCAAAAAAGCTATTTAGTGGATAGTAAGGGGTAAATCTGTCAAATGGTACCACATAAGGCTCTTCTTCATCTTGCTTTACCATCTTTTTGGTCTCAATTAAGCTATAGGTTGGAGATTGCATGTGATGGAAATTACCCTGGTGACCTTCATCACAAGGATTATTTTCAACATTATCTTTCCTGTTGCTTGGTTGTTCATTTTTTGGGCTAGAATGGGGCTCAATGACATGGGCTTGGGTTTTGTCTTGGGCCTTCTTCTTTGGAGTATTTTGGTAATCTGGGCTAGGATGGTTATGGGCTGATGTGTAAGTGATTACAAGAATTGAAGCATCTTCTTTGCTCCTCTCTACTTGTTTTTTAGCTAAGCATCCCTTCATTGTGCTGCATCTATAATAACCCCTGCAATAATACAATTAATTGATTAATCGATAACGATATATGAGTACGAAGTAGATGATTCAATGGATAACTCGTGTTACGTAAACAACGAGTCAACCAAGTACAGACAACGCACGGGCTTAACAACTAGTAATTTATATTACAAAACAACCTTGGATAAGGAGATCCTTTAATGGGCTTTTGTCCATATTTTCTCCAAGACCAAGAATCAGAAGGAGGCCCATTATTCTTTTGTTGTTGATCTCCCTTTTTTGCTTCAATCTTAACCTTCACTACTATCTTCTCATCATCCTCTAACTTCCTGAAATCAAATGATTCAATAAATTAAAACAAACCATCATAAACAAACACTCTTCGTCCCGAATTAATCAACATGTTGATAGCGTAATTTGAACTAGCATTTGATAACCGAATCAAGAGACTGTGTTAAGAAGCATAAACCTTCATTATAGTTTATGTATCTTGCATGCAAGAAGAAAAGTTAATTAATTGATTAACTTCTTAAATAATAATTAGATACAATAATTAATTTAAGAACTAACCCACCTTTTTTTGGAGGCCTGATTTTCGGACATTGAACTTTTGCATGGTTTTAGAGAAGTAGAAGTAGAAGAACCATCCATAATAAGAGCAATTTGTTTTTGGATGATTTCCTAATTTTTTTCTTTGGAACAAAAAGAGTGTATATATAACGGTCAAATCACATGAATTGATATATAATATGGTCAATAAATATATTGTATAACACCTCTTATTTTGCTACTTTGCCCACCCCACTTTCTATTTTCTATTTTTCTCCGTATATTATAACTTAACTTCCATACATGCTAAGTAATGCAACTACATACTCAATCTACCTACTTGTTTAGTATATATATAATTTGATGGTAAGAATTTACAAACTTTGATTTTGAAACAAAGAAAGTAGAATTGAACAACTTACAAAAAAAATGGGTTGGAGGGTATGGTTTATAATGTTCTCTCCGTTCGGAATTAATATTCTCTTTTTACAAAGTCATGTCATTTTATTTGTATTAATTACAAAAATATTGGGATAATGCATGTGGTAGATAAGTAGTTAACATGTTGCTTTTGGAGACTTTGATTAATAAGATTAGAATTTTGAAATATGACTTTTACAATAAGAATACCTTGTACTCTCGTCTCTTGAGTTTAAATAACTTTAATCAAATACAAGTATAAATCTATAAGCCACCAGTTTTTAAGTCTGATTTGAATTGAATTGTAACTATTTTACTATTATTTTAATAGTGAATTTTAAGTCAAACTTACGCAATAGTTGGAGGACTTGAACTAATTCAATTAGGATCAGACTTTAGAAGTTTAAAGTCACCAAGTTCGCTCCCACTACTAGTTTCGCACTTTCACCCCGTATTTCATGAATCATGCATGTAAATACAAGGAGTATATCTATAATCTATATCTATCTACGTAGTAGGAGATAAGAATGATTGAAAGGAATCTTACAATTCTAAATAAACAACTTGTAACAATGAATAAAATAATTAATCATTTCGTGTAATATACGTACATTTTTCTAAGCATAAATTTAATTAACAAGTAACAGCAAGCTGGTCCACCCAACATATAACCACATATATGATATATCCAATTACATCGATACCCTCTTATCGTATGTTTGGTGTAATTTTTTTTTGTTTTTTGTTTTTGTTTTATTCATATTATTTAATTTATTCGATTTTTATTTTTAATTTTGTTTGTTGACGCAGTTTGGTGTAAGTTTAAGAAAGATTGATAAATGTGTGATCTTTAGCAAGTAATGCAAAAGAGAAAAGAGGATATTGACTGTTTAAACAAGCAAAGGTCAAATTTTCGTTTTAAGTATTATTCAAGTTACGAATGTCTTTTATTTTATTAAATATTGATTTTTATATTTTTCCTTTCAATTAAATATAAATTAGTTTTCTTCAAAAAAAAAAATATATATAAATTAGCTAGCAATATTGTTAATTATGACTTGAAATCTAATACAATGGCAAAGAGTCAACTTCAAACACACATGTCTCTCAATCCAGAAGTGATCTTGAGATGATTCGAGTTGGAGGTTATATCTTGTTTCAAGATCTTTTCAACGATAGGTCATATGCCAATTCTGATAAGAAACAAAAAAGTTATGACTGTTTTACGAAAGACTGTCTAAGTTGGGGAAGGGACACGGACTTGCCCTACATAGCACGCCCGTGCCTAGTCGAATGAGACGTTTTTGCTTCCTATTTTCGGGTTTGTTTATGAAGGCTACTAATGATATTCCTTGGGGAATAATTTAGGGGTTTTTTTAGGGTTTTCTTATGTTATATAAGGAGTCGTTGGGTAGATACTTAGAAGTGCTTAATATTGATTAATTTGCCCAGCCAATTCAAGCCAATATGTAACTCCAGAGATTTTGTGAGATGGAGAGTATTGTATCTCCCTTTGTTATCTCTCTTGTTTATCATCCATGAAAACTAATAAGAAAATACTATCCCGTACCCTATGGACGTAGGTTTTGTTGACCGAACCACGTATATCTATGTGTTCATCTCATCTATTTTCTACTTTATTTCTCAAATTTACGTTTATATATTGTTGTCTATGTTCCGCGCTTATCAAACACATAACAAATATCATTGCAAAATTTTGTTTTGGATAGTTTTCTTTCGGTTGAAAAACTATATTCTCCTCAATTTATAACACCTGTAATTCGATTAATAGAAAAATAGAAAGCAAAATTTAATTTTGATAATTATTTTAATTACTTCGCGTGCATATAATTATCAAATTAGGTAAATTATTATTAGGATAAAGTTGATCACAAAAACCAAGCCAACGTCCAACAATTAACTTTAGAAACACAAAATATGATTAAAACATTTTGCAGGACCACAGTCATTAGTTCATTACGCACGCATAGAAGAACCAGAATTAATTAGCTAAGCTAATTAAAAATTTACAATCATAATTATATATTTACATGCATGATTAATGTCATCTCTTAAACTTTGGACACATCCTTAGGTATATCATAATTACGTCTATAAAACAATTGAATAATTTTTGGCAATTATGCATTACCAAATACCAAATGCTCGCTAGTGACTTGCCAACTTCCAAAACATTTTATTTTCTTTTGCTAATTAATGAGATTTTTTTTATTATGAATTGAATACGACATATATAATCCTTTTATCCGAAATTAGTCCTTACACTACACGTTTTTTGTTTTATTTAATTTTTTTTTTATCCCACCTTTCATCAATCTATCTATCTATAACACCACTCTCAATGGTGAGCAAAAATAATGCCCAGTCACTATCTCTCTACCCACTTTCTCTCTCAACAAATCTGTTTTGCCCATAGGCAAATTTTTTTCACAATTTCTTTCCCACTGGTGAGCAAAAAAAAAATGTTTTGTCCACTACTCTCTCTCTTACTTTTTCAATACCCCACTATTATTTTCTCTCTCCTACACAACACTTCTTTATTTATTAATTTCATTTATATTTTAACAATATTACTCCAAATAAATAAAAACAAGTCTAAATTTGTGTAACTTTTTTTTTATTTGTGTCGTTTTTATCGTTAAAATAAAGAATATGGAGGATTTATGGTATTTCTAAAATTATACCAAAATATACCAAAATGCATGTCTATTTATAGAGAATTAAATTTTATGACCGTTGGTAATTTTAATTTTTTTTTAAATAAATATTTATTTCAGAATTTGCATTACAAAAAATATAACTATTGCAAATTGTGGTGCCCACCAGAGCACTATTCATCTTAAAAAATGCTCAAGTCTTGGGCATTTTTAGAAATGCTCATGAGCATTTTTTGGCTTTTTCTCATTTGCTCACCATTGTTGTTTCGGGGTTTTTTAATGTCCTGCGGGAGAGTTACAATTCCGAGACTGGAACCGGACGCCTGTACCTGCAAAACAAACGGATGCTCCGGATGATTGGAGATCCGCCTCCGACGGTCAAGTTAGTACTTGATTAAGGAGTAATTAATGCGGAAATTAAAGTGATTGGGTCTCTCTAGGTGAGAGTGTTTAATGTGTGTAATCTGCGTAATCTCCCTTAATGAGGATTAAGGGAGGTATTTATAACCTCGGGAAACGTGCCAATCTAGGTTTAGGTTAACCTTGGGCTGATTGGGCTTCCCTCGGAAGTTGGGCCTAGGTGACCGGCTTCTCCATTAGGCATGGAGTATGCCACGTGTCATGACATAATAAGTCCAGGGTGGACGAATAAGCGTGTGCCACGTGGAAAGCCCTGAGAGGTCCAACTGGGGGACACTTGGCAGGACCTGATTGGCCCACGTGGCGCATTCCGATTGGTGGGAGCAAAATCCCCTAATCATTTGCCCCTCACAGGTGGCACGTGACTGGTCACGTGTTACCTGTGACAGGTGTCGCCCTGTAACAGGCGACGGCCTGCTACAGGTGTCACTCGGCGAGAGGCCGAGAGATTCTCCCGCCAAAATTTTGAATTCTGGAAGTGACCCTTCGCCTTCTCACTTCGCCTATATAAAGGAGTGTTGACTTCGGTCATTTTCACACTTGAAAACTTTGTGAGAGAACATTCGGACCCCTGAACTTGCTCTGACATTTTGGACCCTTTCTGCCTACCGCCTGCTCTGACAAGCCGACTGCAAAGGATTTTCAGAACTTCATCAATCGTCACTCGTTCAGGTAACCGTCGGTTCTCTTACTCTTAATTATCTCTTTACTTTATTCTTTTTTGAAATAGCACCACGGAAGCATACGACACGACCTAGGTTAGTGATCAGCCGGTCACCGGGGACGGCTGAATCTAGGACTAGGAGTGCCACCTGCCCTTTTCTGGACCCAGCTTTTCCCTTTATACAAAGTCCGACTGTATCTGTGTCTATGCAGAGCATGATGGCCAGAACAAAAAAGACTGCCAGGATCTCAAACTCAGACGGCTCCTCCCACAGGGTGCCGATTAGTGAAACATCTGACCAGGCGCCAGATGTGGAAGTGAAACAAAGCGGCTTGAAAGCCGGCAGTTCTGAGGGAGGAGTCAAAGTGACCCCTTCCCATTTTACAGTTGACAATTCTACATTCTCTCCTGCTCCTTTTAAAGGAGAGGAGGCGGGCCCCTCCGGGAGAGGGGAGAAGTCGTCCTCTTCGGACTCGTCAGAGGACGAATCCGAGTCTAGCTCTTCTGGCCATGCTTCTCTGGACACAGAAGAGAAAAACAGTCGCCTACAAGAGGCGAGGCTTTCTCACGCAGTTGAGAAGGGGGACGATTGGGCGGAGCCATCCGCCTCTCACCGAGAGCAAAATACCCCCTACTACTGCACGGTACCTCGGGGCCGGATCACGTCCATGCAAGAGAAAGTGGAGAGCTTTATCGCAAACCACACAATGGGCCCCGGCTTTTTAGTGTTCGTGCCGGATCCAGAAGACACAGTCGTCTGGCCGGCTGGTACCAGTTATGATGGCGCCTGCTTTGGCTGCTACGAGGCGGCCATCAAGGCTGGGCTGCGCTTCCCACTACATCCGGCTGTTCAGCGGATCTTGGATGGGTATTAGTTGGGGTTATGGCAGTTAGCCCCGAACTCCTGGGTCAACGTACTCGGCTATGTGGCCGGGTGCGAACTGCACGGGGTGGAGCCGAACTTCGAGGCTTTCGCCCACATGAACTACCTCAGCCGGACCCCTAAGGCAGGCGGTACCGGCTGGTATCAATTGACGAGCCACAGGGGCTACCTCATGACGAGAGGTAAAGCAAACAAATGGAAGGACTGGCGGAACACCTTCCTTATCATTGAGAGTTTAGACACAGAGCTGAACAAGCGCTTCAACAGGTGGAACAGGAATCCGCCCCTTCTTGCAGGCGGCCGCAGCATGCCGCCTGTTCCCCCCAAGGCTAAGAAAGAGATCCTAGATAAAGGACT